ATTTATTTATCAGCACAAATATATATATATATATATATATGTATGTATGTATGTATGTATGTATGTATGTATGTATGTATGTATGAATGAATGAATGAATGAATGAATGAATGAATGAATGAATGAATGAATGAATGAAATGTTAGCAAAACGGAGACATTGGGAAGGGCATAGGAAAATTTGTTATAAGTAGAGGGAAATCTGAGCTGTGATTTAAGATAAACATACTTTTCATACATTTTAGAAGGTAAGCAGTGTGAAGGACCGTTAGAAATAAATCTTGGAACATTTTAAATGTGTTAAATTATTATGCCCATTTCAATTAATGGTGGAATTGGTTGCATTTCAGTAAACTGATTTATAATAAAGAAAGGCATTAACCTATATTTTATTTAATTTGGAATTGATTTTTTTACATTGTATCCACTAATCAGATTGCATACTTTGGCAGAAACATTTCTCCAGCCTGCTTCTGGCCCTTAGAAGCAAATTTGGAGGGTGAAGAAGGCAGGCAGGCAGGAAACAGTATTTAAACAGAATAATTTGGATATCACTTTCTGAAGTAATCCTTATTTTATGGCCACAGTTGGGATTGGAATTTTCATTATATGGTCAGTGCAGCCATAAGTTGCATCGCTACATAACTAGACCAGATTTTATTATCATTTTACCATGCTGATAAAGTGAATCACATAGTCAGTAAACAAATCAAGTTTTCCAATTGACTCTTTTGTTAGACACTGTTTGGGAAATTTACAAACTGCAATCACAGGACCACACAACACCACAACCAGGCATAAATGTAAGCTGGTTGCCAAGTGCCGGAATTGCAATCATGTGACTCTAGATGTGATGCAATGGTTATAAGTGTGAAGATATAAATCACTTTTGCTGAGACCATTATAATATTTTGAACCATTGTTAAATGAATGATTGTAAGTCAAGGACTACATATGAAAGGGATGGGACCTGATATTTTACAGAGACAAAAAATTATCAGCAAAGGATATGTATTTTACAAATAATAGCATATGATTTTGTGATGTTATTCTTTTGGAAATGCTGCTAAATAAAATAAAGTAGGCATATTAAAATAAAGACATGCATAAAATCCTTAGAAAGAAGCAGAGCTGCCTAGAAATTTGAATTGTGCTACAACTAGTTCAATGATGAAGATGTGGGATATATCACAAATGTATATGGTATCTTGAATGTTTTTTTCCAAACTATTGTCCTAATTTCCTGTGATGATGCAACGCTTAGTAGCAATGCCCATTCAATAATCTTTCTTAGCAAGAAAAAAAAAGCTTTATACATTTGGCGAGTGTAACTTTGTGAGTGGAATTTTTCATCTTCCTTTACATTAGTTCACCGATACATGTATGTATTTCTTGTACAAAGTTATAATTCCCTCAATGTCATTGGCTCACTGAAACTATAATCATGTCCTTATTACTACATCCTGAGGGGACATATGAATACAATGGTTTACCTCAGGAACATCAACGGTGATGTTAGTTTGCTTGAACACCGGTCCATTATCATTTTCATTTTGAATTAAAATTAGAACTTTGATATTTTCTATCTAGGGGTAAATAAAGCAAAAGAAGGTTATCGGTGGATTTCAAGCTCAAAAACTCTGAAAAGCAAGAGCACATTGATTAGCCTTCCCCTCCCCCCCACCCCATTTGCTTCTTCATAAGTTTGGCTCGGCCCCTGCTAAAGTCTTGACTGAATCCCTGTTACCTGTGCTCTCTCACAGTCAGAAGAAAGTCTTTTGGGATCTATTCCTACTAAATTGGATCAAAACTACTTTGGCTAGATGTGTCTCTGGAAAAAGTATTTTGTGACCCAAAAGAGGCACAGCCTTGCATTATAATACACACTTTTCATTCAAAGTTTGAAGATAGTGATTTCATCACCCTATATTCTATCTGCCCCTTTTCTTTGCCACTCTGAATTCTGATTTAACATCTAGCCTGTTTCCCTGAAAATAAGACCTATCCAAAAAATAAGCCCTAGAGAGGTTTTACACATGCAGCTAATATAAGCCATACCCCCAAAATAAGCCCTACTTAAGAGACGGTGCAGCTGACTGCTTGCCCATTCTATCGGGTTGCTTGTGGTGCCATGGCCCCAAAGTGAGACTGGGTGGTGGTGGAGCTGCCGCACACGCCCAGCAGCCGCTTACCTCAGGACCCTGTAATCAGGCCACCCATGCCCCTACACCTGCCTTGCAGTGGCAGCAACACCAGCAGCCATGTGCAGTAGAAGCCCACCGGCTCACTTCTTCTGCTTTCTCATGGCCGCAACGGAGCAGAAGGCCAAGTGGTGTGCTGGTGCTGTGGCTGCAAGGCAAGACAGATGTTGGGGAGTAGACAGCCTGGCTTCAGGGGCCCTGAGGTAAGCAAGTGCAATGCATGTGGGGAGCTCCAACCCCTGCCTCGTCTCGTGGCCATGGCACCAATGCATCGCTTGGCCTCCTGCTACGTTGTGGCCATGAGCAAGCAGAAGAAGTGGGCCAGCAACCATGCGGGATCCTGCTGGATGGGGCTGTGAGAGCTGCCACGGTAAAGCAAGGCATGTGTCAAGCCTTGACACACGTTTCAAGCCATACTTAAGAGCCTGTGCAGCCAGCTGCTTGCCCATTCCGTCTGGGTGCTCATGGTGCTGCAGCTATGAGGCGATGGGGTGGTAGTTGAACTGTCCTATAAGCCCCGAACCAGCTTACTTCAAGGGCCTCACAGCCAGACTATCCACGCCCTGACACCTGCCTTGTGGTGACAGCACCAGCGGCCATATGCAGAGGAGCCCACGTAGCTGCTGGCCCAGTTCTTCTGCAATGGAGCAGCAGGCCAAGCAGTGTGATGGTGCTGCAGACGCGAGGCCAGGCAAATGTCAGGTTGTGGATGGTCTGGCTTTGGGAGGGGGGGGGGCTGAGGTAAGCCAGTCCAAGGCACGTGGGGAAGCTCCACCCCCCCACTCATGGCCATGGCACCAGTGTGTTACTTGGCCTCCTATTCCATTGTGGCCACAAGCCCAGCCAGCAGTCACGTGGGGTCCTGCTCGACTGGGCTGCCAGTCATCACTGCTGCGAGGTGAAGCAAATATCAAGCCATACGTGGCCCACATCCTCCTGCTCCACCACGAGCAAGCAGAAGAAGTGTGCCTCCTGTATATATAAAAATAGACACCCCGGTCTTATTTTCAGGGAAACCTGAATATATTCACATTTTTTTGGACAAATACTCCAACAGAGAGGTGTTAGGGAAAGGAACTCACAAAGCAAACACCCATTATTTCTCCAAACTATCATTTTTCTACACTTCTTGCATATTCTGTTTCCTTACAATTATTCCATGCCCCCACTTTCTAAAAGAAAGGGACTTTAAAAATCAGCAATTCTATTCAAAAGAATCATGCTTTGGTAATAGAAGAGATGCTTTATTTCACTATCCATTTAGGGCTAAAAAAAACCTGCTTGAATCTCAGAAAAATTCTGTTACTCGATGGAGTTAGGGCGGATCCAAGTGAGTCCAACTCTTAGTCCATCTAGATCAGCTATGGCTCTTAAACAAATTCTAAATCAGAAAACTGGAGGAGGATCTTTTCTTTGTGGGCAGTATTAATGCTGTACAAAATTCTACCACCCCAAGGCCAATAATACAAAGCATAGATGAACTTCACAGAAGAGAAAAGAAATTTATAATAGACTTCTTAACACAATAAGATATGGTTTGCTGTACATGTAATTCTTGATACAAAACCTTCTTTAATTTGTCTTTTGTATGTGCTAGACTTCAACTCCCACAATCCTCAGCCAGTATAACTGTGAGAGTGGTCCTATAGGACCACTATCAACCTTGCAAAGACATTTCTTCCAACATATTATACTTTGGTAGGACTAATAATACAAAGGGAAATTTGAAATATGACTCACTTGCAAACCTGCTTTCCAGCATATCAATTCCGGCTGAAGTAATTTTATCTCCTGCATTAAAAATAAATATTTTAATTTAAAGCAACCCTTTATGGCACAACTATTTTTTACACATATAATTCCCAGCAAATGCTGGTTCCCCTGGGCCTTGCAATGGAATCATTATTCTTTACATCAACACAGCCATTTCACCAGGGCTCAGAATAAATAAAAGCAGCATAGTTGTAGTGAGAGAAAATGCTTGCTAATATCCAGCATCCTAGCACTCTAAAGAGCCTTCCATCTGATATTCCAAATATCTATCGACCCCTTGCAGTCAAATAGAGGTCCCTGAGAGCTGGTATGCCATGCATTTTGTTCAGCACTTTCTGTCATCTGCTGCCACCCATGAACAACTTTGAATGAGAAAATGCTGTCTTGGGAAAATATGTCCCACCCTGTTTTGTAAAACATACACAAAATCCAGCAGTTTCAGATCTTTCTCCCCCCTTGTTTTTGTGAAGGTAAGTAAAATCTGCTCAGGAAAACTGGCATTTTTTTCAGTGCAACAGAAGTGGAAAGATTGCTTAACAATTGAACATGCATCTGGATATCTCAGAAAGGAGATGATTCATTCACACCTGATCCTAAGTTGAGCATTTGAGATTAAAGCGATTAAAAGATAAGCCCATTTCTACTCTTCCATTCAAACTAGCAGCTTCCAAAGTATTATTTTTACAAGCATTTGTATATGTATTTGTGTCCATTATCTGTCTTACTCCTGGCATGTGTGTGATAGGCAATAAGGTTTCAGCAGTTGTTTTAACCGTAGTCTTATTCTAATGGAAAACAAGTGGATTTCCAATTGAGGTATGGCAACTTAAACACATCTCTGACAGAGGAAAGCTGATGACTGCAGCAAAAACTGCAGTAAATAGATTAACTCTTCAGAACCTCTCTGGATAAGAAGAGGATGGGATATCACCCACATGTGCTCTGGACAGTTGCTTCTTATGAGGATGCTGTAAGACAGTGGTCCCCGTGGGTCTGAGAACCAGGAGATGAATGGACCAGTTATGCTCTCAATCGTAGCAGAACCCTTCAAAAGACATTGAGTCCAGGGACCAGAAACTGATGTCACGGTGACACAATGGTCAATCTCGGGGCTATGAGACCGCCACCGAAATTCCAGCCGCAGGACGGTCTAACTGGACCTAAACCATCCCGAAGAGGCGGTGATAGGAAGGGTCATATCCTGCCAATTCCAGAGACATCCACAAAGTCTCTGGTGATCCAGGAATAGCCCCCTTGCCAGCAGCTGGGAAGCAGCCATTAAGGCTGGCGAAACTGCTGCCAGCTTCGGAAGTGAAAGTGCAGGAGAGAGCATGTCGTTCATGGTGAAATTTTTACCTTTTTTCTGATTTATGAAAACATCCTAAATGAAGAGAACTAACCTAAAATAAAAACTGATGAGAGAGAGTAAGCGGCGAATATAAGGCTACAGTCAAAGTGAAAGTTTTTTTCCTCCTTTTTATTGTCGACTGGACTTTCTATTCAGCATAGTGTTAAATGGAGCGGGCTTTTTTCTTTTCCGTTTTTCTGCCTTTTACTTTTTGCATTGTTTGATAACTAAGTTCTACTGTTCCACTGTTTAAGAGTCTTTTTTAATATACAGTGATTTAAAGTTCATGTACTATTTTCCTTTTCCTCTTTTGGCTTTTTATTTTATTTTTTATTTTCTCTTAATAAGGCAGAGAACGCAATACAGAGAGGGAAAGTTTTGGATAAGTAACACTGCCACCTAGAGGCTCTGAAACTTTGTTTCTATTTTTTGTTTGAATTAATGTTTGGAAAAGGTTGCTTTCCAAGGTTACTGGCTCAGCCAGGACTGATAGGAGAAGAGTTATTTACACAGATGCTTACTCTGAAATTTTCAGTCCTTGAAATTCTGCCTGGAGAGAATAGATAACAACTGTAAGAGTAAGCCTGGAGTGATCTTGAAAGGCTTTCATTTTATAAAAGTTTTGAGGTTATTTTTCTTTTGTTTAGAGACCTTTAACTTTACAAGAAGCCTTGAAACTATTTCTTTTCTTTCTTTCTTTCTTTCTTTCTTTCTTTCTTTCTTTCTTTTTTTTTTTTTTTTTTTTTGCTAGTGGCAGTGTTTACTTCTTTTTGCTGTGAAGTTGGGTCCTTTGTCTGGTTGTTTTCAATTTTTGGTTTTTTTCA